ATTTAGAATGCGCAGAAAGTGTTTAAAATTAAAGGAGCGTCATTCATTATTTGATCCATCACTATCACTATGAAAATTATGATGTAACACCTGGATATTATGTAGATATAATCAATATATATTTATAAAATATTCACAACACAGGCTTTATTTTTAAAAAGTTATGCAATGCCATTTTCTTCCGAACCAGCTGAACCAGTGTCACCGAACAAAAGTACAATATGTTTATATAAAAATAAAGATTCTAAAGAGCTATGAAGGCACATGGATGGTATTTGCATTATAATGATCGAACGGCGTATTTTCTCAATATTCATTGAGAAAACGCGTTTATAAATACGATATGCAGGCATCGATCGGGTGTCGCGACGAAGGGTCGAGGATGCGCGATAAAAATGTCATTTCCAGCCCCTTTCATAGGGGTTGCTCCGAGATGAGGTTTATTGAAGGTCAGGAGTTGACGAACGATCGATTCTCGCGACAAAGAGGCGATAATTAACGATATCGCGAGGACGCGGCTAATTATAATAATAATCGTACGCGACTCTGAATTTTACCTCTGACCCAACCGCGTAACCTTCTCTCTCTCGAAAGGTTATTCATTATTACGGGGTCAACGAATCCATGCCAGAGCTTCGCGAGAATCGATGAAAGCGACACGACGCATCGTTTCACTCTACGTCGCAAATCGCTTCTTTTATATGCCACGTGCTTCGGAAATAAAAGAGAGAGAAAAAAATTAAAAAAAATAAAAATATTCCTGCAAGCAAGTTTCCGTGCAAATAGCAGAGTTTGTTTTTAAACATCTGTCTCGTATCAGTGAATTGCTATCATGATAAAAATATGAAATAATAATCTGTGTAATGCGTAATTAATACAGAATTATAAAGAGCAAAATATAACTGTATAAAAACTGGAATATATAATATTATAATATATAATATTAAATATAATATATAATAATAAAATATACAATTATTTATATAATATATATTTTATATTTTATTATATATATTATATTTTAATTTAAATAGTAAATGGACAATTAATCTGAATATAATATATTGTCTTTTCATCAATGTTAACGAATAGATATATCATCTCCAATTAGCGTTAATATATTGCCATGCACTTAATTGCGTTAGGTACAAATTGAGTTGGCGTTGATTAGCGCTGATTAACGTCGATCTTTCAGCGAAAGGCCGGAACCATTTTCGACCCTCTCGTATGAAATCAACGCACAGCGGGACAACAATAGGACCCATCGAGATCGGTCGAGCATATACTCTTTCAGGTCACAGGTCACGCGCGAGTGAACTTAACGACAAGAGCTTTGCACCACTTTGCAGTCACTTTAAATCCCAAAGAAGCTTTTAAAAAAGGAAAAACCGATAGATCACGAATTTTTAAGATCTTAAAAGCACCACACGAAAAAAAATTAGCTACCATTAATCAATTGTAGATGTCCCTATACAGAGTGTATATAACTTAATTTTCTCTCCTTTAGAATATTATATCTGTTCCTTATTCAGGGTGTAAAGCAGACTCAATGAAAAAAATTTCCTGACTTTTTCAGATTTCCCAAAACCAGAAATTAATTTTTTCCCTGACTTTTTAGTATTATTTTTTCCAAATATATAATTTACATATATCTATATGATAAATCAATTAAATGTTCAATCATGAAATCCTTGAGATATTTTTGTCAACAATGAAAAAGTTCGGAAGTTAAAACAAAAATTTCAATCAATTATACAACCTGCATTATGTACGATAATCGAAACAAACATGTCACTATAGACTATTTAAATAATCACTTTTTTATTTACATTATATCAATTTTTTTAGTTTTATCTCTATTAAACACATTGAAATAAAATAACACGACGATAAAAATATAAATTAACAAACACGCTGTAGATGAATCAATTTTTAACAATACAGAAAATTAGCGTGCTGGGAGTCAAGAAAAAGTTGATATTTATTGAGTAAAAAATGTCAAATTATTGATACAAATGTAGAATAATGTGAAAAAAATCCAGATAAATAATAAAATTTCTTGACTTTTCCCTGACAATTCTAAATTTATAAAATTCCCTGACAATGCCCAGTTTTCCAATTTCCCTGACCGCTAGACCCTGCTATATTACACATAAAATTTAATTATCATGTCTAAATTTTAGCTATAATAGCTAATATTTTTTAATTATAAAATTCTCCGTTAGACTATAGCTAAAATATATTAGTTCCAACTTATAATAGGGACGGCTAAAATTTAGCTATTTTTTTCGAACGGAGAAAGAAACAGAGCAATCGCCAATAATAAGCTATTAATCCTTCGATTCATTTATGAAATGTTTTTCCTCGAAGTGTTTTAATATTGGAAATATTCGTATATCAAAGTTTGTTATTTGTCGATGGGATATACAGAATATATATACAAGCATGAGCTTGGATTCGCAATCACACATCCGTCGTTCGATTCAAACCTCGCGGAGAAAGGCCTCGCATTAGGGTCGCCTCCGTAGAAACGGATATTAGAAAACGACTCTATGCACCATGATCTTAAACCTCTCTACGATCACGCCGGCCTCGACGAAACGTGGCTGACAAATCGCGTGAATCGATAACGCGCGTATATTCCGCGACCTCGATTCGCTCACCCAAGGATAGATATCCCCGTGTGTCAAGACCTGACAATGGAGACAATCTCGCGGCTCTAAATGAGAGCTCTGCGACTTTATAAATCCATGTCTATACGCTTTCGCCTAAAATTTATGCCCACGCAAAAATTGCGCGAATTGCTAAATCAAGGATCGAAAGCATTACAATATTCACGTTCACAAACGCGAAAATAATCTCATCGCAATCTTCAAATATTATTTATACACTGAAAAAAATTTGTTGATTTGATTAAACCTTTTTTTCAACTAAATTACTATTTTAAACATATATGAGTATTTAAGTCAAATATACGTTTTCTGTTAGATTTAATATGTTATATTTAATTTAAATATTTTTATACGTTTAATTAACAAAATAATATTTAGTTGAAAAATTTAATCAAGTTCACCAATTGTTTTTCAGACTATATTTATTTATATTTAATGCATCTCAATTTTGACAATTGAGTAAAATTTTAAATAAATTTTTGCCCGCCTAAAAATCTCGCGAACTGTTTAAATTAGGAACTAAACTCATTCCATTTCAATATCCACGTTCACAAATCCAAAAATAATTTCTTACGATATAATTTATATATTTTTATCCATTTAATGCAAAGATCTCTCAATTTTGATAATTGAATAAAATTTTACAAAATATATGCCCACACAATTATTAAATCAAGGATCGAAATCACTACAATTTCAATACTCACATTTACAAAAATAATATCTTTACGATTTCACAACATTATTCATAAATTTTTATTCTTTTAATGCACCAATTTAAATTTTAACAATTAAATAAAATTTTGCAATAAAAAAAGTATACTTGGTTATAATTAAAAAAACTTTCTAATATAAATTTCTAATTTAAATTATGAAAAAAGTTGATTGAACAAAATTATACGGCTTAAAAACCTTTTACAAAAGTTTTTATATTATAAATTTAAAATTATTAAATTGTTTAGTTTAATTATAAAATGTAATCAAAAATTGTAGAGGGACACTTAAAACAAATCATCAATATTCTCAAAGATATAAAAAAAATAATATTATGTCGCTGACGAGAATAATTTCAGCAGAAATTCAAATTATTTTTCCTGGGTTGTATTTCAAAGCAATATTTTCACACATATTGCGGGCTATTCACCCTGTATCACCGCCCACGCCATTTGCAACTCTCATTGATTATAAAGAACTCCCCTTGCCTCCTCCCTCTCCCTAATAATCGCAATTATACTCATTAACTTCGATCGATAGAAAATTTCATCGACCAGCAAACGCCATGCTAATTGGACGCTGCTCTTTAACATTCAATAGTCGCAAATTTCCATAAGATCTGTAGAATCCACGGAATTCTCTTTATTTATATATACAATCGTTATAATTTTAATAAAAAGTCATGTACAAAGAAAGCTATGGGATCTCTAAGTTTAATTTCCTACCAGCACGACTTAATACATTTAATAAATATATACTTATGATTGCAAAATGAATGTAATTGAAAAGGCGTGTACGTCCAAATCGAATTTTAAATGAGAAACTCTTCTTTAAATATTTCGAATCATCTAAATCTCTATATCGCTTAATTACTTTTACTCACAATCATTATACGTACACTGAAAAAAAAACATTTATTATCTTTACTAAATCTTTCAACTAAATTATTAATATTTAAATATATTAATATTTAAACCGAATATAAATGTTGTTAGATTTAATATGTTACATTTAATTTAAATATTTTTATATGTTCAATTAAAATAATATTTAGTTGAAAGATTTAGTCAAGTTAACAAATTTTTTTTCAGTGTATAAAATGATTGAGACATTCTTCGAAAAGTTTAATAATTAACAAAAAATGTTGAATATATAATAATTTTTCAATAGTGAACGATTCAAAAGACAACTCGACCATTTCGGCGAATTATTCTGCGTCAACGATGCAAATATAGACATAGCTTATTCTTCATCTAGTAATACCTTACTCTTCAAAATGAAGAGAACTCAAGCATATATTTCACGTCAAAATTTTATAAATCCCGCGAAACAAATATGGCGCAGAAAATAAAGTTTATTCCGCGGACAATTTCAAGCGGAACTGTAGGCATCAAAATTCGATGCCCAAAAATTCACGAAAAGACACGGCATATTATTACACATATATATCGAATTCGCGAGCAGAGGAGGAATCATTTCGCTTTTCGGAGACCAGATACAGTCTACACGTAACAAAAATCTCGGTATACACCTGTCCGATTCGATTCGCCCTCGGCCCGCGATTTCACCCACCCATTTCGCCGAAACGGCGTACGTAAAAATCGATCGACTTACCGGAAGAAGAGCGGGGCTGGGGTTCTAATCTCCCTCGCTGTGCTCTCTCTGTCTTTTCCGGGGAAGAAAGCAACCCAGTCGAACCACCCGGGTCGTGGGATTGATAAAACGCGAGGATTCGGCTCCGAGATATCGTCAGACCGACGCGAACTCGCTCGAGTACGGACGGAGAGTGAGTAACCGCTGGAGAGTCGTGAAGTTAGCCGGAGACCGAAACGCCGCGTGCGCGCGTCGCCGCGTCAATGAAAGCGCGACGCGGCGCACACTTCAGCCTCCTCCGGGCTGCCGTGCACTCCCACGCGCGGGCGACACGCGCGCGGCGTGAAGTTTGCCCAATAGGGGGACAACACGACGGCGGGAGCATGCGAGATCTCGACTTTGTGTTTGCATTTAAATTACTCCGCTGTTAATGATTTTCGTTCGTCTTCGAATTATTTGGGTCGAGCGTAATTAATGTTTGAGAAGATAGAGAGAAATATATGAGAAAATGAAACATAATAAATATGAAAATATTGTAAATATATTTTCACGTATAAGGAATGCGCGTAAAAAATTCAAAAAGTTTTATTTTCTTTTGATATCAGAGATGTTAATTTACCGTGCGCTTTTATGGTAATAACGAAATTTGATTTGAATAACATATTTTTCATTGGTATTAAATTTCTAATGAGAATATGCGTTGCCCCAAATTAAACCCAACGGCGAGAATAATTTTGTCTGTTTGCATTTAAATTAAAATTTTCTGTTTGCAATTAAATTATTATTATATCATTCATTTTAAATAAGTTGTTTAGCTTGAATAATGTTTGTAAAGACAGAAAAAGTAGAAAGAGATCAAATATACATATAATAAAATATAATAATAACTGTGTATAAGTACACTGAGAAAAAAATTTGTTAACTTGACTAAATCTTTCAACTAAATATTATTTTGTTAATTGAACATATAAAAATATTTAAATTAAATATAATATATATACTAAATCTAACAAAACGTATATTTGACTTAGATGCTAATATATATGTTCAATTAACAAGATAGTAATTTCGTTGAAAGATTTAGTCAAGTTAATAAATCTTTTTCAGTATTATAATACAAATAAATAAATATATTTATATAGAAGTGTTGGGTATAAAAAATTGAGAATGTTATTTTCTATTGATATCAAACAGAGATATAAATTTATCTCTGTTGTGAATTATATGATAATAATGAAACTTGATTTATAAATAACATTTATAACTGCTTAAGTTTCTAATGAGAATATGTTGTATGACCACAAATTAAAATCTTACCTTGAAAGAAGAAGATTGATTATCATTTTCGTTTCTTTTTGTTTTTGCGCATATAAAAACAAAGATTAAGTACCAATTAATAATTTTTCAGGAAATTCTCGAACAAATTTCGCCTATTAAAATCGAGCTAAAACTGCGCTATCTTAATTAAATCGATTAAAAATTAAAGTAAAAACTTTCTTAATATCTCTTGTTTTATTTGTTTGAACTGCAATTTTCATTCTGCAGTTCAAAACAAAATAAAAATATGGGCAATGTGCGAATGATTTTCACAAAGTTTCACAATATTCACACACCGGAAGCGCGAATATATTGCACAGTTAGCTTAGTAATTGCATAAAGGAGAAATCTCAGTTTCGATTTCATTAAGAAAACCGCTATCTACTGATACAAATCCTATCGCGCCAAAAGACTAATTAAAAAAAAAAGATTTTCATTTTCGAATAAAATCACGTTAAGATTATAGTATAAATTTTGTAAATATATAATTTTATTTTCCGATTAATATGTATAATGCGGAAAAGTTAATAATCCTCAATATTGGAAAATGCTGCAATTACGTAATTCGTGCGTTATACGATGTTTTTCACGTTATACGATATAATTAAATGCAAATTTAATACTTCACAGTCTCTATTTTTCCAGATATTAAATTTTTATGTTTAATTCTGTGTTTCGAATTTAAAATGTTATCGATTATAAAAAGTAAACCATAGAAAATAAAATCATAATTAAGCTCACGGAAGAGCATCTTTCAATGTAGTGACTTTATAAATTTTATTCTTTATTGTTAAAGTAAACTTCAATTTTCAATATATAAAAATCTCAAACTATAAAATTTAGTTTAAATAATCAAAACATCGTTTGACATTAAATTATGGATTATTTTAACGAAGAAGCAAATTCAGTTCTTCAATGATAATAAAACTCGATATTTCGTATATAAAGATTTGTATAATATAATAAATAAATAAAAAGATTTTTATTTTAAAAAAGGTACTCACGATTTCGAAGTATCCGTAGATGCTAGATAACTTCAACGAAGAGTCACGTGTGGTGTATCTATTCTCACATAGGCGCGCCAACGTCATCTGTTTTTAATTGTCATTTTCCGCAGCTCACGTATTGTCTGCAAACAAAAAGATTTTAAAAGATTTAAAAGACTTTCGTAAAATTGTCTAAGCAAAGATTTCCTCGGCAAAACGAGTTCGCAGTTATCCATTCGCGTTGTTAATCATTCGTTTCCTTATTCGGTTTCTTATTGCGTCCCCATTGTCCTTGTCGTAACATGCTTTCTCGCCTACCTATCTGCAGATAAGCACGTGTACACACATATCTATGCATTACAACCTGGATACTTCCTAACGGTTCATAAAAGAATTTCCAACCCTTTTCCTTTGACGCATTATGCAAAATCGATGCATGAAAAACTCTTAGCAAACATTATGACGTAGCTTCGTCGTATACGTCATCATGTTCGCTATTTTAAATATTATTACGTCAAAGAATGTGTAATACTTTTATTATGTTAATAATATAGACGTTACTTTATACTTTAACATCAATATCTACTACGATGTAGGCGTGAGACGAATATAATAACCATTCAAGGTTTAGCGGAAACCGTTTTTATATAAAATCCTACGATGTGTCTGTGTATGTGACATAATATTGTTTTTAATAAAACTCGATAATGCATTATCTTGTCATCCGTTACCATCATTCTATGCATAAAAAAAGTCATCGCTATACTTATAAAAAGAAATATAAAAAAAATAGTCAAGTAATCCTTAATTATACAATAACTTAATATCTCCTAATATATAATAATTTAATATGTGAAACTCTACTTTTTTTAGACTTACAGAATTAACAAAAACATTGAAATTTTGCCATTCATTGTACTACTAAGATCTTATTGTGTTATACAATTAATAGAATTGCTTACTAAAATTTGAATTTGATAGAGAATGTGTAATATCGAAAGGCATTAACCTTTTTGGTATCCTGCAACGTCGTGGGAACATAGTGGGCATTGATCGCTTGCGCCATAGTACAGTAGTCACGATACAAGATATATTGATCCTTTAAGCATCGCCTGATCGCCGAAACTCTCTCCCGAAGCACGACATGCTGATCCAGCTTTGATTCCAAGTCGATTACGTCTAGAAAAGGAATATTTTTATCAAAACATGCATCAATAAATCAAGAATATATAATACAAAGAGTATTCGATAATATATTTAAATACACTTGTATTATATAACGCATCTATCTGAATGCGAAATATATTTAATATAATCTTCATGCGGCTGTACGTTGCTAAATCCGTTAGTGGTCTATGTTCTCATTGTTTCGATACAATGCAGATTCTTTCTATTCAATACTAGAATTGCAATTGTCAATGCGTTCACTGTAGCATGACTAACTGCACTTCGCATTCAATCAAATATGTATATAAACATCGCGAAAAAAAAACGAAAAAGCGAAAGAGAGGAGACAATCCAAAAGATTTTTGATTAAAAATAAAAAAAGAAATGAAGAATAAGTAATTCGACAATATAATAATTCGATTTACTTAGAGAAAATGTTAAATAAAATATAAGAGTCTAACTTTTTAATGTATAGATATTCATTGAAATAAAATTGTTTAGGAAAATTAATTTATATAAGTTTTTCTTTTTATGTATACTTACCAGGAGGCTTAAATTCGGCGATCTTCGGAAATTCCAGGGGACTGAAATAGCTTTGAGTAGAATCCAATTTCAGTCTTGAATTCTTTAGTTCCTGAAGATATTTTTGGAGCTCTTCCCGTTCCTGTTGCAGTCGCAGTTCGACAATGCGTTTCCGAAGTCCGTGCATTTGTTTCTCATCAAACCTTAAAGATTTGTCTTCCTTACGACTTCCGGTATTACGAGCTTGCGGTGACTTCGAATTTGTAACTTTAATGCTTTTCTTCTTTTTCTGGCTGTTAAATTTGTGACCATACTAAAAATATAAGAAAAATAATATTAGAGATAATAAAATAATCATTTGTTACTAAACTATATTACATAATTATTGCAAAATAATTTTTTCGTATTAAAAAAATGCGTTAACGACTCATCTCGATCTTTATCATATTATTAAAAGTAACGCAAAAATATTTTTTTGTAAATTATTATTTTTAGATAGGTATATTTACAATTGTAAAACGCGTTGTGTACAAAAATTAAGATAATAGAAAAATACTTCCGAGAAATTAAAATTTTTAAAAATTTGACAATAATTTAATAATTATGCAGAAGACAAAAATACACAATACTATAATACTCACTATTTTATTTTCCGTTAAAGAACGATTTTCGTTTTCTTCTCTTGTTTTCATCTCCTTAATCTCAGATTCGGTTTCGCTCTCAGAAGATTTTTTCGACACTTTTTTTGCGTTTTTCGAGCTCGCATGTCTCTTGACCAAATGCATGTCTCTTGACGCATCAAATGCATCTTTGTGCAATTTTCTGAACACTTCTTCTTCGGCGTCCTGGAAAATGCGTTGACCCGAACTTTCTTCGAAAATGTTTTCTTTTCTTGCTTTAATTTTCTCCGATAAATTAGATTTGATTATGTCTTCCTCATCTGCTGCAGGCGGTCCAGTGATATTTATCATTGCGCGTTCTCTTATTTTATTCAATGCTTTCCCGCGCTCTTCCTGCCCGCTTTCTTGCCGAACAGAAGTCATCCTGATCTCCGGTGAGTTTTTCTTCTCGTCTGTCTTCATCACATCACCGACTCCGGTCAACGACTCCGAAAAATCAGATATGTTTTCATCGAAGCTTGTGGCTAAAAAATTCGTCAAATTAACCGCATAATATAAAATAATTTTTTGGTTGAAAATAAATTTTTGAATCAAAATTTTAAAAATCTTGATAAATTTTTAAGGGTGTCTTCTAATGAGAAAACTGATTTGACACAATTACAAATATTGGTATATTATTAAAAAAGTTAATTTAAATGAATTTTATGAGTATTTCAAAAATATTCTATTAATAAGATAAAAGAAAAAGTAATAATTATGCTTATTAATAAAAAAAAAGATAAATTTTAATTTTAAATATTATATAGAGCATGTAAAATATTATAATATATGAATATATATATAACATTAAGATAAATATTAATTAAAAAGTTAAATTATTAAATATATTTACTATTTTCATTTAAACTAATTTTCTCAAAAAAAATACATATCTCAAAAATAGATTTTCCGATAGTAGCATTCTATCAAATTGGATTGACTCCAATATTGACAATGAAATCAATTTATTTAAAATATATTATTTATTTTACCACTTGGAATGTTCGTTTTGAATGATGGATCTGGTCGATGTTGTTGATAGCGTTTCTTCGAACTGGTGAAGTTTGGCGATTTAATCAAGCGCATGCTCACGTTATCTGAATTCACCTTGCTCTCAAGATCATTGGCATAATTGGATAGATCTAAATTAACTTCGGTTGCGTTTGGTTTGGAATCCATAAATTCAATAACGTGTCTGTCCCTGGAATCAAATATAATACATATAAAACCTTTCCACTTTGAGAATTTAATGGTTTCTCGAGAGTATCGATATTTTTTTCACTTTGCATTCGTGCTTATAATTATAATAAATCACTGATAAGGATCGCGACATATATCACGAGCTATGACCTTTCCTGTCATACATATTACTGTTATCACTGCTCTATATATACATATTACAATATATGTCAAAGAGCAATACAACTATAAAACATGATATTTAAAATAGTTAATATTTATTATTCTTGTTCTTCAAATCTAAAATATAATTATTAATTCATAATTTCTAATAATTAATTAATATTCATGAATTACATTGGGTTAAATTTAAAGTTAAATTCTTTTCCTTTCATTTCATATTTCAATTTTCATAAAAAATAATTAAATTTTGAAATTAGTAATAGACAAATTATTTCTCTTTTGTTTTATTTTATTTTATTTATGAAAAAAATATGTAATACTGTTAAAACTGATAATAAAACTAAATATAAAGTAAAAATAATATCTCTAATGTATCTATTAATTAAGTTACCTGGTGCTCTTGTTATTTTGATGATATTGCTCGAATAACGCCGTGTCGTTTTTCTTTATACTAGATCCTGTTAAATCTATTTTCTTCTTCTCATCGATTATACATTCGCGCTGCGATTGTGATTGCATGGTCGAGCTTGAAACGTCCTCGAAGGTGTCGTTCGCGTATCCGCTTTCAATTGCCAGCTGACTCAAAATCGTCGCAGAAGTGTTTTCAGTTGCCGAATATTTAGAGGAATTTTTGATAGAATTGTCGGTTTTAGTACCTGTCTTAATGCGAGAAAGTTCGGAAATAATTTCACTGCCGTTGTCCACTGTGCCAATCGATTCCTCGATAACGCTATCATCGCGCAAAGACCTTGAACGATCTGAATTTCGATTAGCCGCTTTCGGTATTTTCGCTTTTTCTTCAATCGAACGCTCTCTCGATCTCGGGCCAGCAGAACGCACTTTCAAAGTCTTCTCGTTGGATTTTTCGAGCAATCTCGATTGCTTTGCAATCGACGAATTGCCAGATGACGCTTTTCTCCTAGAATTATCCGATGATATATCGGATTCTCTTCCTTTTTCGTGCTTCGCGGTCGTTCTTGTCTTCTCTTCGCGTCTGGAAGATTTATCGCTGGCCGTGGAAGAGTTTCCACGTGACGTTTTCGAGCGTGAGAGTGATTTCGACGAAATCATCGAGTCATCGAGTACGCTTTCGATCGAGCTGTTCTCTTGGATACTCGTTACGTCCGAGATGAGACTTTCTTGCTTTCCTGCGGAACGCTGCGATTTGTCTTTCGACGGAATCGTGACATCAGGATCGGCCTCGTCGACGTCTTCGATGAAAGGTTCCGGACTCATCTTGTCCGGCGTTGATTTTTTACTCTCCGATGAAAGTTTCGTTTCCTCCGCGCGTCCTTTGACTCGCATATCTGGTATCTTTATGTCGAGCTTAAGCTTCCTCGACGATTTCTTCGATTCTGTCGAGATTATTTCCGAAGGAATTATCGAGACGCTACTTATCGAGCTATCCGTATCCTAATTAAAAATGTTGCATTAGTGTCATGTATATTTAACATCACTATTTTGTAAAAATGCTCATTTTAATTTCCAGAAACACAAAGTTTTATCATTAAAAATTTTTAATTTTAATCTCTATAAAAGCTGCCATTATAATCAAATATTCGAATATGTATTTATTATCTTCCTCCATCTTAAATATAAAATAAATAATAAAAAAATTTTACTAAAGATATACTTAAAAATAAACTTAAAGAGATTAAAATATAATTTTTGCAAGCTTTTAAAACTTCTCGAAATTTCTGTTTAATAAACATAAATTTTTTAATTCTTCTACTTTCTTATTTTTAAGGAATACTTACTTTTTGACGATTCCATTCGTCACGTTTTATTTTGTATTTTTCCTCGATTTCTTTCAAACGTGCCAACGCGGCATTCGCTTTCGAGGAGAGCATTTTTTTCTTTTTTCAGCTTTGTATGTTCAGTCGCTAAATTTAGCCAGCGAATTCCTGGCTTGACTTCTGTGTCACTTGTAAATTTCAATTATTCGCCAATTAGAAAAAGGAGGTTTTGTTTTCAAGTGAGTCACGAAATAGATTGTTCAGCTCGTTCTCCGGCGAGTTTACCTTTTCGTTACCAAGCAACCTGTAGATAACAATACAATACATATATTGTAACTGGAACTAATATGAATACATTATAGATTAGAATACTATCAACGGTGCTTTTGACATAATTATTAATGACATCTCGATAATAATCATCAGTAATTGAAGTTGCACATAAAATATATTTATGGATACGAGTTTAGAAAATGCTCCAATGTATCTTGCGAGGTTATCCTCCTTGAGTCAGAACAGATATTACAAATTAAAGCACAACAATCATATCTTATAGTTGATAAATGCATAGAAACATACGATTGAAAAATGACAGATCTTAATTAATGAGAATTTACAAAAGTATAAATAAAAATAATCAAACATTACCTACGATCTACGATTTCACTTTTCTGTCCGCTCAATTCAAAATGATCCAGTGGTACCAACCGCTTAATTGCACTCGAACGTGATTGGTCCTTACTTTTAGAACCAACGAATTAATACTCTACGTTGATTCGTCGGTTCTAAAAGAAAGAACCAATCACGTTCGAGTGCAACTAAGCGGTTAGGTCGGCTGAATACGACGCAAATAATGTTATGAAATTATTTTTATTAGAAATTAACAGAAATTAATTAAGAGATAATTAGGACTCTTCATAAAAACGTTTTGAAAATATACCTGATAATAATGACGTGACAACCGATCAGCTGTTCATATAAATCTCATGTAAATCCGACTCTGCTGAACACGACCATATAAATATGTCATTAAATTATTTTTATTCGAAATTAATAGGAATTAATTAATAGATAAGTAGGATTCTAATCATGAAATTGCTTTGAAAATGCACCTGATAATAATGACGTGACAGCCGATCAGCTGTTCGTGTAAATCCGACTTTGCTGAACGCGACCATATGTCATTAAATTATTTTTATTAGAGATTAACAGAAATTAATTAAGAGATAATTAGGACTCTTCATAAAACGTTTTGAAAATGTACCTGATAATAATGACGTGACAACCGATCAGCTGTTCATGTAAATCCGACTCTGTTGAACACGACCATGTCATTAAATTATTTTTATTCGAAATTAATAGAAATTAATTAAGAGATAAGTAGGATTCTAATCATGAAATCGCTTTGAAAATGCACCTGATAATAACGACGTGACAGCCGATCAGCTGTTCATGTAAATTCGACTCTGCTGAACGCGACCATATAATGTCATTAAATTATTTTTATTAGAAATTAACAGAAATTAATTAAGAGATAATTAGGATTTTTCATGAAATCGCTTTGAAAATGTACCTGATAATAATGACGTGGCCGATCGCATGTACCTTAATAATGATGACAACCGATCAGCTATTCACGTAAATCTCATGTAAATCCAACTGCTGAACACGACGATATGTCATTAAATTATTTTTATTCGAAATTAATAGGAATTAGTTAAGAAATAAGTAGGATACTAATCATGAAATAGCTTTGAAAATGCACCTGATAATAATGAATAATGTGCAGCCGAACAGCTGTTCATGTAAATTTGACTCTGCTGAACGCGAGTACATGTAATGTCATGAAATTATTTTTATTCGAAATTAATAGAAATGAATTAAGAAATAAGATAGAATACTAATCATGAAATCGCTTTGAAAATGCACCTGATAATAACGACACGGGCATCCGATCAGCTGTTCATGTAAATCCGACCTTCCTCGAGAGCTGCCATATCGACGACAGATAATCGAGCCGCGATAAGATAGTTAGACGACACGAGGTTATGTGCGACGCGGCACGACGCGGACTGTCGCCACGGTGTGGCGCAACGTCGGCAGAGCGTGGTCGGCGCTGATTGGCTGGCGCGCGCCAGCCAATCAGCGCGTTCCATCTGTCTAGCCCGATGGCCGCTAAACTCACCAACCACGTCCGCCGAGGGAACACTATCGGCCAGTTCGTCGTGGTGGCAGGTGCCTGTTTCGTTGTCGTCTCTTCGGGATCACGTCGTCCTGTCGGCGTCCGAATATGCGGTCTCCCTGTGCGTTCGTCGTACTCCTAGTGGTCGCCCTTGCTGCGGCAGAGATTTACCTGGACGAAAAGTTCAGCGATGGTGAGTAAACGAGGATCGAAATCGTCGAGTTGAAAATCGCGAAAAAAAAAGAGAAATACCGACCCGGCCGCTTCCTCCTCTGCCACGAGGCCGTGTCTTTCGATCTCCTCTCACGGGATACGGAACCACACCCTCGCTCGTACGTCGTCATCCTCTCGTCCGGAAGAAACGGGAGGACGAGGGATATCGAATATTCTTCGTACGCGTGTCATCCTGTCGCAGGGGACTCGAGGACGCGGCCTCTCCTTGGTAACCGCACGCCCTTTCGCGGCTCTCTTGTCGTCTCGGTCTGCATCTGTCATCCTTAGGACGTGCAGGACGAGCCGACCGCGATCGGAGCGAATCATTCATTACGTACGAACATATATTCGGCTTTTATATATAGATATGTATATAGATATATATATTATATGTCGTGCCTTGTAACTTTGCTGAAGCGGTATCGGCCATATGCGCCACGACGCGTCGAGGGTGGGAGAGAGAGAGATAGAGAGAGATAAAGAAGACCGACACGCAGTCGGAAGTGGTCTCTCGTGGCAATCGTCGTGCTAGCGCGGCATCCCGTCCATCGCCATCAGCGCCGACATGACGCTGCCAGATCGATCCGTGGATCCTGAACCCTCGAACCTTCTGCTGAAGGACGTGACGGAAGGATCGCGATTGTCACCTCTTGTAGAGAGAGAGAGATAGATAGAGAGACGAGATTTCGATGCCGGGAATGCAAAAAATCACTTTTCTCCTGGACCGGTCAATTCTGCGTTCTCATCCTGCATTTCCTTTCTCCGCTTCTGAGAGATCCTCGTCTAAAGCTGACTCCTTTTCGAAGATTCTCGACGAACGGATCTTCCGACTGACGTGGATGTTTTTCCCGTTAACATTCAGATTTCAGAGGCTGTCCCCGGCAAGACGGGAATTATCTCGACGTTCCTTCTTTAACTGTACGCGTCTGTCTCACCTGAAATGCACAAAGCGTAAAAAGCATACGTGTGACAGACCTTGGTTCTTTTTTAGCTACATTTTTTTTTCTTCACACTCCGCGCTTATGTAAAACGGAGTAAGAAATGGATACTCGGACGTTGGATATGAGAACAAGGCAAGAGCTGTAAACAAGCAACTTATACAATATTTATTCGATGACGGTGGAATGCGGCGATTAGTTTTATTTTTCTTTATTTTTTTGCATAGAAATTTTGCCGAAATTGCCGACGAGAGAGGAAGAGAGATAAAGCATTATCTTTCTCTTTTTTTCTGCTGGTACAGTTATATATCGTCGCCTTTTTAATTAATTTTTAACCGGTTCTTGCCTCCTCTTCGGAAACGCAACAAGAATTGATTTTATTATTTATATATACGTTGCATATTTTTATGTATTTTATATATATATGATATATTTTTATTTTGTATTTTATTATTCAAATATATTTTTTATATTGTATTGCAAATATTATTGTTTTACATTTATTATTTTTCAGCTGGATCGCAGAATTTCGCGAAACAATTGTGATTTTTCGTACACAGAAATCGCGCAAATAATCACGAATAATATATTTAATACGAATTAATTAAGGATCATTGAGATTGAAATAATATACTGCCTGATAAATATAATATTCAAAATTAAATTTTTCTAATAAGTTTTGATTTTGTTGATTGATAATTGATGAATTAATAAAATTATCTTGTTATTCAGATTTAATATCTTAAGCTCAATAAATAATAATTAGAATTTTATTAATAATATATATCATATATAAAATACAAAATAAAAGTATATAAATATAAAATACATAAAAATATGCAATGTGTACATAAATAAAAAATAAATAAATACAAAAAAATATATAACATATAAATATAAAAAACATAAAATATATAAAATCACAATAGTAATATATATATATATATATATATATATATATATATCTTGTAATGTTACATCTTTTATGTATGTATATTATGTCACAGAGAAACTATTTACATTTCAGATTCATGGGAGAAGACCTGGGTCTACTCCGAGCATCCAGATAAGGAATTTGGAAAATTTGTTTTAACTCATGGAAAGTTCTGGAATGAACGAGAAAATGATCTAGGTATTTCAAAGAATACATGTACAATACGTGAATCATTTATGAAATATAAAATTTTGTTCATTCACATTTTTCATTTTTTTTTTTTCAAATTTTTCTCAGGTATTCAGACATCACAGGATGCAAGGTTTTATGCTCTTAGTAAAAAATTCAAGCCATTTAGCAACAAGGATAAGACCCTTGTCATTCAATTCACTGTTAAACATGAGCAAAACATAGACTGTGGTGGTGGATATCTCAAAGTATTTGATTGCTCACTCGATCAGAAAGGTCTGCATGGAGAAAGTCCATACCACATTATGTTTGGTAAGTTTTCTTATCAGAATATTATCAATAACGAACTCGTAATTACTGATAACGATCCCGAGCCTAGAGTCACTAATCATACCAGTGTATGGTGAGTGCTAGAGGACCTCGGATAACAATATTCTTTGATATGCCCTGTGTATAGCAATTATGCATATTGCAGGCACCAGATAAGATACATATATTATAAATTAATCAGCTTAAATAAAATTTAACCCAGTTTGCTTATTTTGTAAAATAAGTGATTTAAAAAAATAATTATTTTAGAAATTTATATCTATGGTTATTAAAATTTAAACTTTTATATATTTATACATTTTAATTAATTTAAAATTATATAAATTTTGACTATGCAATATCTGTTTCTCTGTAGGACCTGACATTTGTGGACCAGGAATCAAAAAGTGCATGCCATCTTTAGCTATAAAGGCAAAAATCTTTTAATTAATAAGGAAATTCGCTGCAAGGATGATATCTACACACATTTGTACACATTGATTGTTAAACCCGATAATACGTACAAGGTAAATACTTCACTACTAAAAAATTCGGATCATATTATAATATGTACACACACGAATTATCATGTCGAGCCTAGAGTCTCTTGTCTTTCTAACTACCATGGAAGACAAGAGCTAAAGGACCTCGTAAAGCGAAGATTATCTTGTTTTGTTTCTTGTACACGAACGATATGACTCGACGTGCACATACGACAAAGATCAACATGTCAATATTATCGTCAAGTTTTGTTTAAGAGCTATTACCAGAATATTTGTTCAATTCGATAATACCTCAACGAAATAATTCTTCAGGTACTCATCGATAACGAGGAAGTAGAGTCTGGCGAATTGGAAGCAGACTGGAATTTCCTGCCTCCAAAGAAGATCAAGGATCCATCTCAATCTAAGCCTGCAGATTGGGATGATAAGATAAGCATCGACGATCCGGAAGATAAAAAGCCCGAAGATTGGGACAAACCCGAGCACATTCCTGATCCTGAAGCTGTCAAACCTGAAGATTGGGATGACGAAATGGATGGCGAATGGGAAGCACCCATGATCGATAATCCTGACTACAAGGTATATTGAAATTAACATATATTTAAAATTTTATCTGATACTTTGTAATTGCTTCTAAAATTATGCCAATATATTAATTTAATTTTTCTAGGGCGAATGGAAACCGAAACAAATCGACAATCCCAATTATAAGGGACCATGGATTCATCCCGAAATCGATAATCCTGAATATACGCCTGATTCCGAGCTATACAAGCGTGATGAGATCTGCGCTGTTGGCTTTGATCTGTGGCAGGTCAAATCTGGTACTATTTTCGATAATGTTCTAATCACCGATGATCCGGAAATTGCGCGTAAATTCGGAGAGGAAGTTTGGAAACCTACTTTGGTAAGCATTCGATTCTTGTTATCAGAATATACTTTTCTTTTAGCTATCTTATTATATATGTATATAACTAATAATTGATTCAGCGCATAGCAATATTTAAGTTTTTATGATCTAAATAATAATTGAAAAATAATTTGTCTATTTAAAAATTATAGGAAGGCGAAAAGAAAATGAAGGAAGCGCAAGACGAAGAGGAAAGAAAGCAAAGGGATAAAGAAGTAAAAGAAAGCGAAACCAAGGATGATGAAGATGACGAGGATGAAGAAGAAGAGAACGTTGTACCAGATACTGAAGTAAGTACCTACAGATTTAAACTTATATATCTTATTTTAATAAGATTTTATAGAAGTTTGCACATATGATGTTTACATTTTTTTCTGACATCTACTGATGATAAATATTGGAATTCCTCGTTTCTGAATGCACTCAATCTGACAAATCTATTGCTTGCGATACTATCTCAATTATACTAACAGATTTTCTCTCTTTACAGGAACATGACGAGTTGTAAATATAAATAAATGTGTCGCGCGTGGACATAAACACACACAACAGACTGTATTCCAGGAGCTTTGTGGCCGCGACACGAATTAATTCTTCACAGGCACAAAATTGTAATCTAAAAACATTGCAATAGCGAAGAGAACAGGATAATAGCCTCGTCGATTCTGTCGTCCGCCATATTGTCCACGAGGACGTCACATTAAATTCGGTTTTAAGTATCAAAATAAAGTCTCGCCCAATTTTTCCAACATTTCAGTAATTATTTTGGCCTTCATATTATAATGCCTAAACATTTTTAATCGCCTGATATAATTCAGTTCATTCGAGTGCGAATTATCCTGAATCATAACATGTAAGCATGAATCGTGTAAGCATAGATCGAGTGATTGATATTTCCACGAGATACACCGGCTGTGGAATAAAAGAAAAAGAATATTAAAAATTAGAAAAAGAGAAATAAGAGGAGAGTCATCTAGCCTGTGCAACCATCGGCGCAGCTCCACAAAAGACTCTAAGTTGTTCCGTTTTTGTTTGTCAAGTGTTTTATATACATTAAAAGATAATTCAGATGTAATTTAAATAATAATGCTATAGTATAATATATAATTATTATTTTAATTTCTTCGTACGGTGTAATTATAAAAAAACTTGTTCCAATTATAAAAAAAAAAAAGCATAAGAATGAATGTGTGCAAACATGACTGAATGATAATTGGTACGATGTATCAAAAGCAACACAATACAATAACCCATGTAATAAAATAAATAAGACTTTTCTAGATATGTGGTCAGAATTTATTTTCATGGGTCCTAAACATTCCTTTCAATCAAATTAATCTAATCCATCCTTATTGTCTATAGGAATGTGTACAAATCAACTATATAAATTGCTTCTAATTTCGTTTTTATATATACATACATATACATGTTATTTTGTAGTATTGTGTTTTAAATACAGTTAAATCTTGTAGTTCAACTTTTGTGTTGGAAAATAAAGCGATATTGATATTTGAAACTATTTTGGGATATAAGCATTATTTCTTTTTGGTATAACGCAACTTGAAAGAGCAGATTTACCTCGTACATTGACGAAATCTACAGTAATATATATATATATATATATATGTATTAAATATAATATATTAGATATATTAAGCTTGTATTTGTATCCACGCTCACAGAGCGTACAAAAAAAAAATTTTTTATTTGTATAATTTATATGAATAAATTAAAAAAGAAAAAAATTAACACACAATAAAAGGAACAAGTATGTCGGCATAAAAAATGGTTGATTTTCTTTCTTCGATAATTCTTCACACATCAATAGAATCTATTTTATGAAGCAATAATTTATAGAAAATAAATCATTTTTTACACTGACTACACGAATACCTTTCTTGCGCGATTTCTATTTACCTAATTTCAGTTCAGTTTGATCTGTCCCTATGTGGAAGCCACATAAGTAAACATGTTCCTTCGACTTCTTACTCTTATATAGTTCCATACAAAAAACAAGAACACTCTATACGCATTGTGTCAAAAGCCAATCGAGACCCTGCAGAGTACCACTGGCATTAGTAACTAAAGATGAACCCTGAATATGCCATACTCTGGCACAGCAAAGTTTATGCAAACCAAATATATCAACTAGCTCCTCAACGCTTGCACAACCTGCTATATCCTGTAAAAATATATATTTGCCTAAAATTACACTATACAATCTAAATTAATTATAAAGTGTATAAAATCGAGTTAACAAATTATAAACTTAATATAATCCAAATGTCATCATTGCATATATAAATATATAAAAAATATTTCATCGAAAAATTAAATACAATAATACAATCTACATAAATGAAACAATTTACATAAATATAATAATTTAAATATATATAAATGAGTAAAGGTTACATTTACCTGTTTATTAGCGTAAATTAAAAGTAGAGCATCCTTCAGTTCTCGTTCATAAAGTATCTTCGATAATTCATTCTGTGCTTCTTCAAAACGAGACCTATCACTGGCATCGACTACAAAAATGACAGCTTGTGTATTATGGTAATAATGTTTCCACAGTGGCCTGAATTTCTGATGGCCGCTGACGTCCCAGAGAGTAAACACGAGATTCATATATTCTAAGCTCTCGACATTGAAGCCGATAGTGGGAATCGGTGGACTTGACAACGTGACACCACGCATGGCGGATAGAATACTTGTTTTTCCCGCCCCGTCCAGTCCTAAGATCACTACTCGCATATCGATCTTTGTTCCAATATGTATTCTATTATCCTATAACAAAAGAGTGCGTTAGAATAAAAAAAATTTTTTAAGATAATAAACGAAGCAAATCATATAATCATATAATTAGATCATTACAATTATAATTGAAATAGTTTACTTTAAATAGTTTGCAAATAAAAGAGATCAATATAAAAATTTATTGTTATTGTAATTGCTTTATCAATTTTACTCTGAATCAACTTATTCCATATTAAAGAACATCTTAATATAGTTGAAACAATTGAACAAGAAATTAATTATAATTCATCAAACATCGTTTATCACTTTAGAAACATTAACAAACCCTGCTAAATATAATTGGTATGGAGGACTCGGGGCTGAGAAAATCTGGTCCTAATTGCGCGTAATGCTGTTGCTGCTGCTCCAAAGTCGCCAGAACCTCCTTGACTTTTTCTGAATTACTCAATAATTTCCAGTCTTCGGAATCGAGTATGCTCTCGCATTGAATACACACACCGGCTACATGCGACCTCGTGGTTGTGAGATCTTTCTGTTGCTGTCTCAGGGCGCACAATCTACCACGAGTCTCTGTCTCAATGTACGCCATCGCTGTTTTCTCCTGTTCGGCCAGAACGGTTCGTAGTTCCTCAAAATGATACCGCACTCTCCTCCTCGCGTCTTCTATTGCCCAGCCTTCCAATTCTTCAATCACTATTTCTAAAAATATAAATGAAAGATATATGAAGACAAAAATTCCTTATTAACCCTTATTTTCTACTTGAATCTTTGTATTTATATTACTTTTTCATTTTATTATTGAATAAACAAAGTATAGAAAATAAATACATATGATAAAGATTTATATACATCCACAAGATAAAGATTTATATTTTCTTTTGCAATTTTAAGAGAAACATTCAATAATAAAAAAACCCACCTATTTTGTGGGCAGTGTCTCTCATGCTTTCCATAAATTGTGTCATTTTCTGCAACGCTCCAATAATGGACTTCCTGATGTTCTCGGCCTCCTCCTTTACTAATGCCGGCTATCATTCAAAGAATAAAAAAATTGTACCAATGTATATAAACTGAGAAGTTAACTGTTATAAATAAAGTCACCTTGTGTGTGCTGTGTTTGCCATACTCTTTACACAAGTAACACATCAAGGAATTATGACAGCCTTCTTGGGTGCACGTAAACTCTGCCACATGTTCCATGTGTATCGAACAGCGAGGCTTCTCACGTGGCTTCTCTGACAATGGCACTCGTCTGTGTTTGCCTAATGTTTTAGACGAGTGTGTGGCGGTGTCGCACGTCTCACACAGATGCGTGGCACAAACTGTGCAGTAGAGAACAGCTGTGTGAGCTTCATCTTCATCGCACAACTGATTTGACTGATGCCTCTCACGTTCCAGCACCACCGTCTTGTCACTATTGGATTGCTCTAGTCTTTCGAGCAGCTCGATAAGAGCAAAGTTCTTCTTCAGACTGTAGACACTGTTCTCATGGATAGCAGTAGGTTGTCGATCAAAAGGGCACAGCAGAAACTGTTGATCTTGCATGCAATTTCTCAATCGTAACAGACAAGCGTGGCACACTGTGTGTCCACAGTGCAGTAAACGTGGTACTTTCACACCATCCACGCTGAAAACTTCTTCGCAGACACGACATTCCAGCACCTGAAGCAATCAGATACATTTTATGAACAAAAAAATAAGACAAGATTTAATATTAAATTTGACAACTAAATATTTGACAAGCTTGATCAATTTAAATGTTGCTATTGGTGCTAAAATATATCTAATGCATCTCTCTGCTAAATTTCTCAACTAATTTATTGTAATGTTGTATTAATATTGTCCTAAAATAAATAAATATCTCTTACATTCGATTTAGGCGCCGTTTTCAGCGAATGCTTTAGATATTTACTCAATTGATTGGCGTCCTCGCTCATTATGCGATAATTTAGATTTCCTTCCGCCTTTCACCTAGAAATCTAGTTGCAGTTTTCACAATTCGAGCACAACTGACGGAGGTTAACTTTAAATAGCAAAATTGGCTCTGCGTGAAAGGGGGTTTAAATCATTTAAATCATGCTGAAACCGCAGAATGGCGCAGAAAAACTATACACATAAGAATGACACTGCATGTTATTTTATATGCTATTCTTGAGCGTTTCTCTCCGCGCTTTCATTCCTATTTAACTCCTTTTACAGTTATAATTTTTGTGAATAATCATAGAATTTTTATACGCTTTATTTTTATTTTTAATTGGTTATCTCATCTTCGAGTTCCAGCAACAACTCTCCTCTTCTAGTTATCTTTATCGATCCGGTTCATACACAAGCGAGAAAGAGATACTTTTCTCAGCTGGGACGTAGCCAATCAGAGTGCTCGACTTCGCGAACAGGAAGCTTATGATTGGTTTCGAATGCGCGTCTTATTTTATTAGCGTCAGCATGAAAATGCACCTTTATATTTTTTGAAAATATTTACAGAAAGAAATATATATATATATATATATATTTTTTTTTTCTGTAAATATTTTCAAAAAATTGTTTTCTTATCAAGAATATGTGTATCATTTACACATGTGGGCGAAAATATTTAATAATAGCATATACGTATTTATAAATTTAAAAAAATACAATTTTTATACAATTTTTCGCAAAAAAAATCAGCTATTATAATAGGTCTGTTCGTTTTGGCTACACTATATGGCCACACACTAGTTCAGAGATTTTTTTTTTGCTCCACATTGGAAGGAAAATCTATACATACACGTATACTTATAGTTATTTCCTGACATGTGCGTTTGTCTATCTTTAAATTTAAAAGAAATATACATACTGATTTTAAAAAATAGAAATTACAAATATTAATATTTTACGTTATTGTACAAAGAGATATTTTTAAAATTACTCTTTCAAATAGACCAAGCTTTACAGACAGTTCTATCATCCAGCTTTTCGCCAGTTCGCCAGCTGTTAACATGACAGTTTGAAAGCAACACAAAGCTAACCACGAATTCAAATTTTTGATGGCTTACAAAAATGTCAGAATTCTTTGCTGAAAAGTGAAAATATCGAATCATTACGATGGTTATTTAAAAAAGTGAAAATATCGAATCATTACGATGGATTATTTAAAACATCCAGTATTTACGATAGGAAATGTCAATGAAGATATTAATCTTTCATTACCACCTACTTCTGGAGAGGAATACATTAAACGAGTGGTGTAATTTACAACAAGATTTATTTATCTCAGTTGTAATTTTCGTACTGTTTTTGCAGTTTCAATCATACATAGATTATTATTTCATTTTATTGCAAAAAACCGTGAAGAAATGTGTAAAAAAAAAGGAATAAAAATAATTATTTAATCGCGTCAAAATTTGGTCAAAAATATCTTCAGTATCTTATTAAAGATTTTAATTTCAATCAAAAATTCTCTTATCAAAACATGAATATATATATATACATATATATTTTTTATTAACATTAAAAAAAAAACAAAGGTTGTAATTAAGTATAAGAAATAATTAACAATTGAAATAAACAGTGAAAATTAAAAATGACTAATATTCTAGAATAGAAGCTCGACAATGTGCAGACATAGTAGTGGCTGATATAAATCCATCGTGTATAAAATCGAGAGGCTGCATTAAAACTGTAAGTAGATTCTAACAAGACAACAATCCAACCAATGTTGTACACTAATGTGATTATAAAGTTAGCAGGATGTGTTCAAGCACCGCCAAGCCTCAGTCCAACTGTGGAGTGGCAACAATATCAGGTCTCCGACTTCTCTAATATAAGACTTTATATAAGTCAATTAAAAGACGAGATACAAGTGGGTAAACGTAAATGGAGACCACCTGATATTCATCTGGTACGTAAATCTTTTTTAGTATTATTACATAATAAATAAATAAACTTGCCTAAAATCTGAAAGAAATTTTGAATTATTTTTTTAATCATTTATTCCCTTTCTTCAATTACAGCCAAACATAAAAGACGATCAAGATACTTGGATCAGCTTCTGTCTAAATAGCAAAGAGAAAATTGAACCCACATTGAATACTCTGTTTTGTTTCAATCAATCAATAATAGAGCAAGTACTTGAATATCTCGTACAATTTGTGGAAACTGAAAGGAAGATCGAATATAAAATAGGCCAATGGATCTACTCTTTACTCGCAATCTTGGAGCAACCATTGCAGCCTGATACCTGTTCGTGTCTGCGTTCGTTGGCACGAGCATGTTCCGTCATCCGCGCAGATTCTGTAAAACTTACCAAATTTAATATCTGTTAACGAACTTAGTATTATTCAAGTAAATTAACCAATGTCATTCTGTTTTGAAAAGAGAGGAGAAAATGTTCACAAACATTACATTTACATTTGTTTAATCTTCTTTATATCAACAATTAATATTTGCAAAGTGTAGTCTATAAAAATCGATTAATATTGATAATATATCTTCAAATAATGAAATAGAAAAAGTAAGAAAAAAATTTTTTCCATTAAATAGCTACAAATAAATATTTTAGTTTTTTACTTTCAGCAAATAAAAAAAATTGATCTTGCATTAGTTCTTGAATAGCTAGCTACTTTTTATTTTGTTTAATATAACATAAAATGTGTTCAAAAAGAACATAAAATAAATTTTAGATAGCAGTATTATTACATAGTGAAAAAGTATGATTTATGATGAAAGTATGATTCTCTCTTTTTTACACACACACACACACACACACACATATGCATGCAAGAATCGAATTTTTATGTATTATCATTAAAGTAGAATAACATTGGTTCTTTTATAATTCTAATGTATCAATTTAACACAAAGAAAAGTTCAGTTAATGTTTAATATATTTTGTTTCTTATTACTCGCTAATCTATTGATATTGCTAATATAAAATAATATAGGGAAAAGAAAAACAGGAGGAAAACGTTTAATTTCTATTAACAAAACATGTTTATTAGAGTAATTTCTTATTTACTCTATTCATGCTATTGCAATGTCATTTCCAGTGTTAGAAAAAGGTTCAGGCGATAATAAAAACATGTGTTTATCAGATTACAAAAGGTTGAGAAAATAAGAGACTGAACTTTTCTTCTATATCTGAACTAGTTCGTCGTCTCGTTAATATCTACAAAAGTTTACATTAAAATTTACTAACGACGTCCTCATCTTCTTGCTCTTTTTTTTTTCAGCGAGAGTTGGACGCGCAGGAGCTGGGGGCGGTGAATTTATTCATCTGTTTGGTGGCGAGATACTTCCGTCAATTGGATCTGGCAGATCCTTGAGAATTTCCCAATACAATAATTAACTAATTATGATATAATGCGACACATGTATACATATAGCGATTTTAATAAACTGACATTACGTTTAAATTTTAACTTTAAACGTAAAGTGGTATGCTCCAAACCTTATGCTCGTACGATTTAAATACATTTAATTACAAAGTACCAATTATCGGGAGACGCAATATATATATATATATGTATTTATATATATATACATATATATAAATATATATATACATATATATAAGACAATGCTTCAATTAAATAAACTCATACAATAATTAATCGGTAAGCAGAATTGAAAAATCTTGAGTTAGTCTTAAGCTACGTTCTCTTGGTCCTGGAGTAACGCAATGGCTAGTCTCTCTAAATCATCGTAACTAAGGCTATTCACTTTGTTTTTCAAGTCCTTTATCAACTCATTGACTATGGACTCTGTCTCAGATACTGTGTAGTAATGCCTGAGCACCCGGGAAATTTCATCTCTCAACAAATGAACGCCCGACTTCTGCTGTGGCGAAGATTTGGCTTCGCTGGAGCCCTCTTCCGCTTTCTTAATTACCAAGAGATTTAATTTACTGCCATCTTTGATTCCTGGATAGAAACTTAGAGGATTCTCATCTAGAACATATCAAATATATAATTTATAATAACAATTATATATAATATGGACACATGACGGTAGATAACTGAAGATATTCTTACCCGCTAATGTCTTGCCAGTGAGCAATAATCTTTGTTGCGGTACATCAATGCCCAAGAGATCGCTCACTTTGTGTTTCAACTCCAACACTGTCTCCGATGGCAATATCTAAAAGTCATACAAATACAAATGTTTATAGCCAAAAAAAAAAATGTTTACAGCCATATAAAACTAGTTCGAAAAAAAGACTGTGCCAGCGAATGTACTCGAAAGCACTCCTAACCTCTTATTCCGTAAACGTTTAAATATATATTTCTCTCCCTCTCCGATTCACTCGAGATCATCAAAATTTATTATCAATTTAACATGAAATTTAGCAGTCGTACGACAGAATAAAATACGAATCCAAAATACAAGGAGGAGCGACGACAGCTACGTCATACACACTTACATCAACGACGCATTCTTTTCCCTGCAGCTTCTTCACGATCACTTTCATGATGAGCGGCTTCGATAATGATTGCGGAAACGAGGTCGGACGTGCCTGGATACGCGCACTCGCACACTCACGCACGCGAAGAGGAGCGCGGACGACGTGATCAGGTTTCTCCGGAGAAAAGCGGTGCCACGGTTTGCAGGGACGAGAGCTGGGGCATCCTTCCTGGGAGAGGTTATATTTTGCGTTCGCACGATTCGGCGGCGCGTAGCGTCATCGGCGTCATCGACTCGTTGTTTCCTCCTACCTTCGGGAGCAGCGATGCGACGCGGCTATCGACGCGATCGCCTGCGCGGATATCGATAGCGATACTCTCGGTGTCTCGTGACGACAATCCTCCCGATCGACGACGCACTTCACTGGCATGTTACTCCCCGTCAACCGATGACGAGCCGCCGTCGAATCCTCCACGCGCGCGAATATTTTATTTTCCCGAAGAGAGAGGGAGAGAGAGAGATAGTGTGTCTTTGTGCACCCTCAACCTCTCCTCTCTTTCCCACCTTTTCTTTTTTCCCCCTTTTCACGTCGTGATTGATGACGACACCCCACTCGTGGTACTCCGGGCGGCGACTCGAGCGACAGTGGCTCCACCTGTCGGCGGAATCGCGGACTATCGGGGAAACGATTGTCGATATATCGAATCGAATTATCGATTATTCTCGAAATATCGAAATTGCAATAATCTTTCCTCTCGCCTCGTCGCGGATGGAAAAGTTAGGTTAGGTTGAATTGCAGAAGAGCCGATTGACAGCTGTCATTTTAAATTTAAATTTATGTCAAATTGTAACAATATAAGAATCTTTCGAAAAAAAATTGTAATAAAATATTTCCCGAATGTTAATGTTTGTTTAGAGAAATCAAAATATTCGCGAAAATTCGAATATCTTACACGTCGTAATAAAGGAACAGAGATGAAGAAATAACTTTTCGCCTTTTTTTGAAATAAACATTCTTCTTTAAATATTACTCTAAGCTCACATATTTAAAACATCATTTAACAATTTATTACGGTCGACCCTGTGCTTGGTGCAAAAAAATACGAGCAGGGATACATACTCTTAGATTATTTCTGACAGAAAAAAATTTATTTGTTAATAAACAAAGCCCGGAAGAGATCCGCTTAAATAGATATTTACTTATACGCGCACATACACGCTTAAATACTCATTTAACAATTTATTACGATCATCTTTGTGTTTGGTTCCAATAAGTATACGAGCTGGTTACATGCTCTTAGATTATTTCTGACAGAAAAAAATTAATTCGTTAATAAAGAAAGCCCGGAAGAGTATTCGTTTAAGTGGATATTTACATATACACGCTTAAATACTCATTTATTAAAACAGAGATATAAAAAGTAAGCTGACTTATTATAGCCGGTCAACTTCGGCTTTTAAATTTTTTTTTTTTTTAATTGTTTGTTTGTCATTTGTTGGCGATTGTTCATCATATACGTGTGTATTTGTCTATCCATATATATAGAGGTTCAACAGAATTTTTTTCAACACATAAAAAATCATTTACAAACCACAGTCGATTATTTCAAAAATAATCAATTGTGATAGGTCAATTTCTTACGATACTCCATTGTAGAAGGTCTTAATAGAAGCTTTAAGCCTTCAAAAATTGACTAATCATCAGGGTTGGATATGTTGGATAGGTATAATATGTGAAGTATTTTACAATTTGACATGACGTATATTATACTATTGTATTATATATATACGTAGTAAGTTTTCGACATGTATAATAATTTATGTATAAAACTTAATTACAGATAACGCTATACACATAAGCCAATAATTATTGCAGCCGATGCAGGTGCATCTTTGATTAATAGTTATTAAAATTGTATAAAAAAAACAATAAATTATTTATAAATCATGGTGAGCGAACCGACCCGCAACATTAATTTATTATGATAAAGGACTTTAAAAAAAAAAATTAAGAAATTGATCAATCACAGTCGATTATTCCTCTCATTCTTCACTGTGATTGGTGAATTTCTTAAGGCTTAGAGTTTACTACACCTGCTATTGTAGATCCGGCCTTTTATGGAAATAAGCCTTAAGTTGTAAGAAATAAACCAATCAGATTCGATTATTGTTTTACATTCAATTGTGATTAGTCTATTAAATTGTAGATGCAGCTTTAATGTGAGAGATAATTTTTTGTTTTTAAGACAAATGAATCAACAATAAACGCTATAATTAGACCAACAATCACCAACAAACAATTACGCATTGATCAGACCATTTTTTAATTAAAATAAATTTTTCCTAATTTAACGCTAATTTTTTTTTAATTAAAAAAAATTCAGAACCAAAAAACGTTGTTATTAGGCCAACAAATGACCAACAACAATTTAAAAAAAAAATTAACAAAACCGAAGTCAGCTTACTTTTATATCTCTGTTTTAATAAACATTTTAAATATGTGAGCTTACAGTGAGTAATGTTTAAAGAAGAATTTTTATTAAAAAAAAAGACGAAGAGTTTCTTCATCTCTGTTCCTTTATTACGAGATGATATATATATATTTTTTATCGTTTGTTGGTCATTTGTTGGCCTAATTACAACGTTTGTTGGTTCTGAATTTTTTTTAAATTAAAAAAAAAATTAGCGTTAAATTAGGAAAAATTTCATTTTTAATTAAAAAATGGTCTGATCATTGCGTAATTGTTTGTTGGTCTAATTATAGCGTTTATTGTTGATTTATTTGTCTTAAAAATACATATATATATATATGTAAATGGTAAATAATTTTCGCAAATATTTTGATTTCTCTAAAGAAACATTAAACATTCGGGAAATGTTTTTCAGGATTTTATTACAATTTTTTTTCGAAAGATTCTTATATTGTTACAATTTGACATATTTAAATTTAAAATGTCAACTGTCAATCGGCTCGTCTGCAATCTAACCTAACCTAACTTTTCCATTCGGGACGAAGCGAGAGGAAAAAAAAAAGGAGATTGCAGTGACATGTATCCATATGTTTGAAGGTGCAATTTCTAGCGGAAAACACACGATGCGCATTTAAATATCGCATAACAACACGTCTTGTATTCTCTTTTTGATGAAAATCCCGCCGTCTAACAATATCCGTCGATTTCTTCATGTTTAGCAAATCTAACCTCAAAATTGTATGCAGGAGAAACAAGTTTTTTTTTCAGAAGACATGTTGAAATATGTAACTAGAAGAAGATATTTGATCAGCAAGATTGTCACAAAGTAAAACAAATTGTTCACAAGAGTCTTTGCGATTTTGCAGCGATTTTATTTCTATTTAAACGTTTATTATTGTTTACAGTTTGTCAGAGATTGATGTGCGCAATGGGGGAAGTAAATGTGTGCTTTCAAATTGACACTGACAATCGTGAGAACTTCTCATCCGGCCTTGCATTTCAAGCCTTCAGGAAACAGAGGGATGCTTTTTACGATATATTGAGGATTTGGGAGGAAAATCACTTGGTGCCAGGATGGGTGTTTCAGATTGCGCTGGGTGGCAGGATACGAAGTATGTTGACGATGCACAATGACTGTACCAATTATTATCACATCGCTAGGCTATTTAAGTCACAACTGCTGATATCGTGTATTAAAAATGGACATCAAGTAAGTTTGATGCTATTAATATTCTCTGTTGCATGGTTTTAAGTTTTAACAAGATCTTTAGATTTTAGAACGAAATAATTATACAAATTATATAAATTGCAGGATGTGGTGAATGACGAGAGTTTGAATTTTCTGAAATCCTTGAAACATGTCAATCCCGAGAAACTGACACAACTCAGTAAAAGATTTGTGACTCCCTTGCCGTCACAAAATCAGACTCTTGGCCCTTCATTTTCTGGCATACAAGAATTTTTTAAAGATTTTATATTACATGCATTTCATCCAATATTTTACACCCATCTGGAAAATTGTATCGTACATGAGATAATGGAGCTAAATGATACCCAGTTTGCTAACAGTGAAATAGAAGATTCAGGTACATTTTTTATTACTTTAATAACAATTATTCAGTTATTCATAATAATTTTAAGAATACAATGTTTTTCTTGTTGCTTTCTTTACAGAAACAATGGTTGACGAACAAACACAAAAGAATTTTATTACCTGTTTAACTAGTTTAAGACTTCTTGCAAAAGTATTAGGGCTTTTAGTTTCATTACCATACAGATCTGAATCTAATACTACTAAAGAAATTGTAGCAACACAAATCGAGATAAGAAGCAAGGTATTTGATAAAAATTCTAAACAAATGTTAAAAACTATGTGTTTTGTTTTACAAATTTTCAATAATATTTGCAATTATTTTGTTATCTAGATTTTACCATCGTTAAATTTGCAAGCATGTCTTCAAAATGCCATACTTGAAGGCAAACTTTCTCTGACTATACCTTGGACAGTCAAGTATCTAGCCATGATGGATATAGTATCGCTTCGGTTGCCATATTACAAGCAGATCTTAGAACTATTGTATCACATTTATCATGCTATCAATCAGACCAATCTTTCTGCTGCTGATAGCCTAATCTCCCAACAAGCTGTTTTGTTGCTCAAATCAAATCTGTGCTGGTTATTTGAGCTACCAAATTATCCTAAGGATTACCACATCGCCTGGCAGAATTCCTGCAAAGTTAAAGAATTAAAGAGTCTCAAGCAGATCGAAAAATTTTCTGAAAAGAAGAAGAACTCACATTCCACAGATTGCGCAATTTCCGCCAAGAGCAATCTTGATAAATTAGATATAATTACTGATCGAACGATGCGTTTATGCTGTTCGCGAATAGAATCGACTCTCTCTGTATTTCATGGGAATAGTACAAATTTGAGTATCAACTCCAACAAACATATTACACCTGTTACAAGTCAGTTACGTAAATTAGGAGGCACTACTCGAGCAAAAACACTTAGAAGTATGTTTATATTATTATAATTATATATAATTATATTTTATATTTCTATATATATATATATATATATATATATATATATATGCATTGCGCTATTATATACAACAGTATTTCATGTATTATATATATATATATGCATTGCGCTATTATATACAACAGTATTTCATGTATGTTTGAACAATAATTTTATATTGCAATTTTTCCGTTTTATGTCATAGTTTCAACTGGAAGAAGCTTTCTTTCACGGTCAACCAGCTTCTACAAGGAAGACTGTTGATTTTGTTTCTGAAAGAGTTGCATCAACCTGCGTGAAATATATATGCAACACCATGTTAGCCTCCTCGCGAGAAACGAATTTAATTGTCTTCAGGAGACTTTTAATACAACGAGGCGAGAAAGATGAACAGAGCGAACTGTCGACGAACTACTGTGAAAAATTTAAGGTAAGACATATTTATAAAGGAAATTTCATATTATGTAAATGTAACAAGATATTGAATTGTGTTTTAATATTCAGGCTTCGTTCTTGATTGAAATAAATATGTTGGCGAATAAAGTGTCAAGAGATTTGAAAGATCAGTGCGAGCAAACAATTCCGGCGATTTGTGAAACACGAATCGCAACGTCAATAGAATCTCTATTGGCAGAAGACTCTCTAATGGCGGTCAAAGAAATGTGCATAAGAATTGCGACCAGAATGGCGATGGAACGAATAAATCAGTGGATTCAATCGCACATTGTTGGTGGTTCTTTATTTATAAAGGATATGGAACTTGAAATTAATAGATTCTTGCGGAACAATAGTCCTGTGCACTCCAAACAAAAAAAATGCCACAATATAGATGCTCCTAATCCCACTGCAGTGATAGATGAGCTTCGAGTAAGGATATATCATTATTTAAATTTGAATAAAAAATTTATGTGTGTAGCATGATAATTAAGTTTTTTTGCATATATATTATAAAATGTACATTTTTTTTCATGCTACACAAATATTGGATTATATTATTTTGAAAATTTTAAATTTTAACTAACCTTGAAAGATAAATCTCAATTTTAATTTTCTTAAGTTATTAATATTTAAACATATTTGTTTCTGTTTATAGGAATTAATATGGCATGTATTGGATAATCACGGTGTGGATTTAACTGTACCATCTATATTGAATATTTTAACTAAACTATATCAAGTATTCAGTGAAAGAAATGACTTATTACCAGGACCACAGAAAGTTTTATCTAATCTTAGTACTGACTTTGCATTATTTTTAGGTATGTTTACCTGAAATTAACACTATGAAATGTGAAAAGAAACAAAATAAAATTAAGCATAATATTTCGCGTTTTCAGTTGCCTACAGGACGGATCTCTTCACGCAAGAGACCCAGGACAAATTTATTAAAATATGGTCATTGAACGTTCTGACAGATCACAAAACTGATTCGCCTATAAACAGACTCTTGTGTTCTAGAAATATCATGTTGTTGGCACAATCTCAAAATGATACAATGTGGTCGATCTTTGGTAAATTTCTGAAAAGATTGTTAGAAACAAATATACTTGATGGAGATAGTCTGAGTGATCAATGTGTAGCTTTATTCAGACAAGATTGGCCCATAGTGAGTACAAATTTGATGTAATATTATTTATTAATAACTTATAATGACTCGAAATATTAATATTAATCCTCTTGTTTGTAGCCATTGTTGAAACTTTTATCAAAGTGCCTGAACGAAGCTATCGAGGGTTATAAAGCTACTGATGAGGCAACAGAGAAAGTCAAGTACCTTCTTGGTTGGGTAGCGGAGACATATCATGAGATTGAATTTTGCAACGATTACAGTTTATAGACTGACGCATAGTAGGAAGTTTACGATGCTGCGATAATTGGAAAGTACGATTGTTTAAATAATTTTCTGTAAATATAATTTACCATCTTTCTATCTCTACGTGTATATTGTCGTAATTTGTCGAGTTTTTAAACGACATGAGGCATCCTTGTTCTACGTATGTTCAAAGATGCGTACATGCAATCCGCGGGTGTGTATCGAGTATTTTACGAGAAAGAAAAATAAATTCTAATTTTTTTGTATATGCGACAGTTATATTAAATATATAACAATATATTTTATAGTTAACGAATATCATAATATGTTCCTCCGTGATATTCCCGCTTGGAGGCACGCTGCTTTGTTTTTTAATAAATTAGGTTCCTTTTTCATTCTAGTCTTGTGACTTCGAATAGCCGACTATTTTCCTATGTAATCTAATGAATGTACTTTCAACTCTGCAATTATGTAATGAGATACACGTCTTTAAAATCTCTATTATCGAATCGCACGCGAATCAATTCATTAAAAAGTAATCTTACTTGAAACTCTTTTTCTTTGTTTCTATTTAGATCATATCTTAAGTATAATAAAATATTAAAATATTAAATAATTAATATTAATTGCTTGAAACAATTTTAAATTTTGTCAGACAATCTATTCACAAGAGTAATAAACCTTGTTGGACGGTTTTGTCGACAGGACTGGTCTACTAATTTATTAATAAACAAATTAGCTCACCTCTGTAACGAGCCCTGTCCCATCTCAATTAACATATATTTCACTAACACATATTATGTTTAAAAAAATAATACTTTGAATCTATGTCATAGCTTAGAATACTCATGCCTCCGCAATTCCTTGTCCCAAGAGTGCTTTTCCATCTCTCCGAGGTAATATAATGTGCACTGTTATCACTGTCAGGCACACAGGCTACAACTACAGCTAGTATCAAGATTAGCTGCATAAATCTCGCGGGATCAGGGCGTAAGTAAATTATTAATTCATATAAACTCTTCATGGAACCAAGATTAGCAAGCGATTTATTATCATTTTTCTCGATATTATATAAAAAATTAATTAATTTGTAAGAATTAATTTATTGGAGAGTGAAGGGAAAGAGGGTGTATCCTGTTCTATATATTTGTAATCTATAGAAATTTGTAAAAACATTTGTAATAACATTTTATGTTGATTTTAATTTCAGTTTATAATTTATATTCTTTCCGTAGAGTTTCTTGAAATAAGGATATCGATAATCCATGAAGATCCATTTTTTTGAATGCTCCTGTCACGCTCTCCCTGACGGCACATTGTCACGTCGCAACGGGAATGGTCCTTTTGTCCTTTCGAAAGTGGGTCATCCACCTCCGTTCCATTATCATAACTCTGAATGGTCGTCCACCCTCTCACCCGATAGTGGTACCTAATCTCAGCTCGTTGCTCACGAATGACCGCAAATTTTCTGGCCTCGTAAGTAGCAGATGGACATTTTCTTTCATAATTTATTCAGTAATCATCTATCGATCGATAGACAGGGAAATTGATGTCACAAGATGTTTAAGAGAAAGAACGAACAATAATAATAGCATTAATAAAAGAATGATTAATCTATGTTATACAATGCCATCAATGTAATTTCTAGAACAATGATTTTATAATAGAAATCAATAATAATTTCTTTAATAATTTTTTAAAATAAATATTAAACGCACACGCAACCTATTATTATATTACTGTATTCATTAATTTTTATAATCATTATTTTTATATTTATTATTTTTATATTCATTTTATTGAAAGATGGCAATGTTATAACATAATTTGAAGATGTATTATCTTTAGTTTTTATTTTGAGATTTTTAATGAAAAAATATATTTTTGATTATATATTATTAAAAATTATTAAAGATTGATTTAAAGTTGTACCAGTCATGAAATTGATATAATTTTGGAAAGAATTATATATTGGTCAACAATTGTCATTTGTAATGTGTTATACTAACTTTAATTATTTGTACATACAATACATTTTATTACTAATTGGACTATGTTTAGAAATTTCACAATATTTTTTTGAAAATACTTTTACAAAGATATTTATTATTTTAATTTTATAAGGAAATACTTGAATATATATTTATCGATTACATTCGTTATCATTCTCTGAGAATCTTAAATGAATGCAATTAAACTAAAAAAGTCACGTGCATATAAATTTTAGATTAATAATCTCATCTTAATCCAATTAACATTTAATAATTTAACGTGGAGAGAGCGTAAATATTCAAAGATGCAATATTCTTCAAGTGTGTTAAAACACGTTTTCGCGATTTTATAAAATATTTTTTAGACGTGGAAAAATAGTTAACTTACTAGTTAATTCGTTCAAATAGAATGATTTCGAAAATAAAAGAGAAAAGTGTGCACACCTTTATTTTTTCATAAAGGTATTTATGTGCTGTCAACTGTCAACCGATTAATTATTTGTCTTCTTTATATCTTTGTAATCTTTAGTCTTAAGTTAGGTTTAAGAGACTTTATGTATTATTGTATAGATTTTTTTTTATTATTTTTCTTTTTCTTTCTTATTATTTCTTTTAAAATGATCTAAATAGTTTTTAAAGATTTTATTCTAAGATTCTTAGACTAAAGTCTAACTTAACTAGTTTTTTAAATTAGAATTTTATAATATTTTATAATATATAATAATTTATATACATATATATATATATAATATACAATATACTATATGATACATATAATATATGATATATTTTAAATATATTAAATATATATTTAATACTTGTAATATACGATATATTTCTAAAAACGCGAAATTTCTAAACATAAAACAGTCCAACTGGCAATTAAAATATTTTGTGCATAAATTGGGGACTAATATAATATAATTATTTTCAAAATTTCAAATTAAATCAATTTCACGACTGATGCAATCAATCTTTAATAATTTTAATTTCAGTCTTATAATAATATATATAATTTATATAATTCCGATTCCGTTTAAAAAATATTTTATAAATCATAATATATATACATTAAAAAATCTATATATATAATTTATGCAATAGATAAATATATAATAAATTCTAAAAAATACACTCGCGCGTATGTAACCGCGCGCGGGAATCTCCACTCCCCCTTTCGCGATTGGGGCAACTTCACGCTGTATACACAGTAGTTGCGCGCGTATGTAGTCATGCGCGGCGCAGTTCCGCGCGCGCGTTCGCGGAGCGCGAACGGATCGTAGTCGCAGTCACGGTCCGCGGGCCGTCGCGTTCGCGTTCGTCGTCGGTGCATTTCCGTGCATCGGTGCTTCATTTAACTCCGTTTTCGCGATCGTATCACTTGGAATCGATTCGTTGATTCCGCGATTCCGGTCTTGTCGCGCGACCGCGTTTCTGACAGTTGAGTCGCCGATTTCCCTCTCTCTCTCGCTCGAGGGAGGAGAAGCCGCATCGAGAAAAGGAACACGCTTTCGAGGGACGACGAGACGATCGAGAAATGAGAATAGCAACTGCCGATTTTGGGAAGATTCCGCGGAGACAGCGCGTAAAAGCGTAAAGGTAAAAGATCTCATCCAATTTTCGTCGTCGAGCTTCGACGATTCTTGCTTTTAATTAATTCTGTACAGCCTCTGCATTAACGCCTCTTATTGGCGAATATTCGATTCCGTCGAACGAAGAGTGCGTGAATTTTGTTCATGGCGTGAGAGAATGTTAGATATTTTTCGATCGAATTTTTTTTTGTGAAAATTACAGCCGCCATATTGCTCATTTGGGCGCCAATTTTCGTACAGTGAAGTTAGCTTGGCGTCCCTCTCGCTGAGCGATCGAACGATTCGATATGACGCGATCAGAATCGATACCTAATCGATAGCGAGTCACATTCAAACTTCGATTATTCAACTTCAATTGACATTAAAGTAATCCCATGATAAATCGTTATACTTGTCGTGTATTATTGTTGTGAAAAAACTTTTCAGATAAGAGTGTCATCGCAGAAAGTGGAATCTTCCGATGTAAAGGAACACCTCGTCCTCGAGGCCGAAAGCGCGTAACGAAGGACGCGATGAATTTGGACGCGCGACGACCCGTCATCGGCACTTAACCCTTATCGCGGCGGCAGAGTGATAACACACGTCAGGAAGGCAAATCTTCCCCGATGCACTGCAGGTGCCGGCCGGTACCGGCCTCTTCGTCAGAGCACGCGAAGCGTCCGTTTTTCGCGCGTATCACGTGGCTGTGAATCATCGGGTCGCGAAATATGCAAGACCTAACCTGCAGTTGAGCCTTCGAATTATTTAAATTTTTTGACGGCAGCGTCTCCGAGCACGTAAGGTACGTTTTATTTATAAGTTTTATTTATAGGGGAAAAGAAAGAGAAGCAGAGAGATACTCGGAATTTTTTTCACCCGTTGAATGCTGTAATGTAATTATTATTTACGTAACGAGTATTTTTTCTGATACAGTAAGATATAAAAATAAATTGTGCATACATTATATATATATATGGTAAAGCTTGATAATATATTTAATAAATAATAATATACCTATTGATAAATTTTGAGATAATTATAAAGAGAAGAGAGCGAGTGAAATAAAATAAATATATTTTTCATCATATTTATTCATTATATTGAAGATATCTTTTTATTTCACAATAAAATGTGAACTGATATTTAACATAAAAATCTAAAAATATCTTTATATTTAAATTATATTTCTTCTCTCTCAAACAATATTATAATAACAAATATGTCAATTGTACAAATTTTAAGTCAACATTATTTTCTTTCTTTATATGTGATAATTTAACAAAAAATAAAAGTTAGAATATATTTATAAGAATGTTTATAGAAATCTTTTTATAAGAATATGACAATACTAAGATACTTTATTTTCAAATATATATTTTAATTCATAATTTATTTAATATGCAGATTTTAAAATAAATAATTAAATTCTTTGCATTAATATTTTATATTAAGTAAGTTTTAAATTTATTTTAGATAATTTATAAAGTAGACAGAACTCGGAATAGAATTTTGTTTATGATTTTACGCAATGTATAACAATGGAAAACATTGGAAGAGAAACATGAGAATATGCACATAAAATTATAAATAGAATTTTGTTATATATTTTGCTGCCAATTATAGATCTAAAGTATCAGATAAAATTTCTTTCGGGAGAATAAAATGTACCGATATACAAGCTACGCGTATTTATAAATAAATACGAGTTAATATTAGCTAAAGTAAATATGAGCCGTATTATTTTTTTTCCGTCTCGAGAACTCAAGGTTTAATGTACATACATGTCAGCGCATAAAACTTTGCTCTTTTCTATTTAAAAAAAATTGTAGCATTTTGTCGTACGTACGTTACAAGGCGGAATTATGCAGTCCGATAAACCGGTGGATCCGTCGTTTATCCATTGGCCGCGATTCGCTATAAATACACTGTGATCCGGAAATATCGCGGAAAGTTGAGGCTCGAAACAAAGTAAAACGACGGCCCAACGGATATCGACTCGCGCGAACGTTCATCGAAAATGCAGCTCGTGTTCGATATTATTTGCCACGTACTTTTTTAATGCGTCTTTCGGCAATATTGTTTACAATCGATTCCTGACGCGTCACGGAATGACATTTTACGCGTTATCACGTAGTCAGCAACTGGTGTTAATTGATATAGTTAACGCGACATGCCCCAATTCGTACTTGCAATCGATTACTCGAGTGGATCACGTTCTCGCGATACATCAGATGTTTCGACGTCTCGTGTTTCGAAATTATATTATCTCACAGAATATAGAACAATCCCTGAACAATTGACCGCGTAGATTAGAACACAAGCACGAATAAGTACGAATTTTTCTTTTCTTTTAATAAGATTTAGTCGGTTTTAATTTTTCACGATCTAAGAAGATTTAAAAAATTGATTGATATTATAATTAAGTTTTTAATTTCGATATAATGTATAGCAGTTTCAGAAATTTTGAAAACTATGGATGCATGTAGAAACTTTTAATTTTCTATAATATTATACAACATGTATTCCGCGGAATTTTGTCTTTCAGTGTTATTAAAACATTTAATATTGATAATTAATTAAAAAACGATAATTAAAAGCAATTTGATATTAAGTTAGAAATAAATTGGCTTTATATTTTTTCGAGAAATATTTACCATAAATCGAAAAAAATAGTGAATTTCGGACCAGTGTGTATAATTTATAGCATGCTAATTATCGAAATATGAAGAGAAAGTAGGAAGAAAGAAGAAAATTTGCAAAGTTAAAATATTATGCAAATATTAATTATGCACACATGTTATTCTCATAACGCGCGGCAGAAATGAGTTTTATATGCCAACGAGAAAAGTACAATTTTTGCGCGCTTTCGCGTCGTGAATACCGAATAAGGGCCGGAAGCCTGTTAACGTTTCGCAGCAGTTTCGGCGTCGTACAGCTCGCTTATTCTAAAAGAAGGCATCCTGAAAGTTTTCAAAATGGGCGATGAATCCTTCTACTCTAAAGTGCATTAAGTCACAGAGAAAGGAAAGTCGTGTTACATGTAAAGTCCATCGTCTATCGCGTTTAATTAGTGTGTGAGATGAAAATTTTAAAAGTACAGAATATAATTTTAATATAATGAACGAACGACAAGTTTGATAGTTTGACAATTTTGTTAATTGTGCGATTAATAATTATTTGATATTAATTTCGTCCTCTCTGCCTCTCTTTCTTTTTTGAGCAATTTTCTATTTCCATTACTTATTATTAAACGAATATTTTATATTAATCGTATTAATCAATTGTATTAGTGACAATATTAATTTAATAACAAATTTAATTTAAGCTTATTAAAATAAACATGGATGATTGAATGATGAACAGGATGTGTAAGAAACACATAAAGGAACGTTTGCGCTGCTCGCGCAAAGTTTAAATTATTAACTGAAAACTTTAAAACGCTTGATTCAATTAAAACTTGATGATTGAACAAACAATTTCAAAATTAACTCTCGGCGTATTATTTAAAATTAATTAAAAAAAATATTTATTTGCTAGCCAGTTCGCGAGAAAAATCGATTAATTCGTCGTTACGCGAAATTCTCTTTTTACCCGCACATCGTTACTCAAAGTTGACAATGCAAATATTGTGCTCACAATTAACAAGTTAATTACGTTTCATCAGTCAACATCATCGCTGAGTATGAGCGTATCTTGTGTACACATTCGCGTACGTTTGTGTTTTTCCTAGCGAAATTTGCGTACATAAATTATAAAACCATACACAATGAATTTATGCAATAGAGCCAATTTTATTCAGACAAATAAAGTCGTTAAATGTAATATATGTACATATATACATAAAGTATTTGTTAAATGTAATATATATTTGTGTAAAACTCGTATAGATATTTTATTTTATTCATTATATTATTGGAAATGTGTCATTGATTAATATATTGTCCGCGAAAAATAAAACACATATGTGATCTTTCTCTCAGAGATACAAATTTTCAGTTTTTTCATAATGATAATTTTTTCTTGGAAAGGAAAATAAAAATTATCTGAATATGTAAATATAATATATAAATTTCAAAGGATTGCTTCGTAAAAATATTATATATGATATCGTTATGAATACTCTTATAAGCAGAATTTTTAATTATAATACATGATATAATTATACTTTAAATCAGATTGGAATGATTTAAAAATTCTAAGAGTAATTTAATTATATTTATAAAAGTTAATATTCTATTCTTGCAAGTTCTTGTGGCTTAGTTTCATCACGTAGAGATTCTTAATTACCTCGGTGAATCTTTTTTGCTCTTAAAGCGTAACGCTCGCACTTGTTCTCTCGCATTTAATCGTACACGTGCGGGCTCGGTGTGGGATCAGTGATACGGACAAAGCCTTAAGCCGACATGCGCTAGACAGTGGAGCGAATTGAAACAAGTCCGGCGCTCGAGCCCGAATCGGACGAGTCGAGATCGCGGTTTGCATTGCTCGGACAAGCAATTTGCGGAAAACCGTTCGCGGGGAAAACGACAAGCAATACGCTCCGCGGCTAATTGCTTTTACCGCTGATTGAAATTTACGAGCGTCAGAAGCGTTGTAAACTTGACGCCGCGCTATGACTTTCGTTTCGCGCACGCATCGGAATCATTGTTAATTCAACCAAGCCAAGAATATTTCGCCGATTTTTCGCAAATTCTGCTCCTACTCGCGATCATTTATTCGTACGGAGTCATGTTTTTGTTCAAAACTTTTCTTCGAAGATATATATCAAGCCATGCATATAAAGTTTTCCTCTGGAGGACTTTGCATTTTTTCTGTTTAATAAAATTCCCATTTTATTATCATTAACCTAATTTTTTAAGTCGAAATATTCTAAAGACACTCTCCGTATTTTCTCATATCCTTTAGTTTATTGTTTAAATAACGTTATAAATCTTTTTTCTGATTGTTGAAAATTTATAGAAAGAAATATTACGTTACAGTGAGAAAATAGATGAATGAGAGAAATGATTATGTATTGTATTTTACACAATTTTCTCAAAGAAATAAGATATTTTTATGATGAGAAAATAAAATTGCGATATTTTACACACGATATACGGTTTTCTCTTCCTCGGCAACGTTAGAGTTCAGGTATACACTCACTTTGGATTGTATTCTGATATCGTCTAACGCGATATATTACAGTAACATGAGCAGCGGTTTGAATATATTACAGAGGACTGTTGCCTTCGTTGCGATAACTCTCTGATATCTATGGTGTTTCGAGTTGTCAAAATCCGTTCGCGAGAGTTAATGGTTTTCGTTATTAATTAAAATTTGCGGAGCCGAGGTTATCGCGGTTTCCCCGGATTGCGGTTGAACGTTTACGCTTTTAATTTAACTAACGAGGATAGCCGACGAGGATAAATGACGAAAATATTTACATCGCGTTGCCCGCATTAATTTAATTCGAATTAATTAAGCCCGCTTCCTATCTCTCGATTAGCCACTTCTTCGTTTAATTGAGCGTGCGACCCGGAAATTAAAGTATCGAAAGCAAACACACGCAAATTATCTTTCTCTTTCTAATTGCATTCTGCTCCTTTATATTTGTCTTTCAATTGTATTTCGAGTGCATAATTGAATTTTGTCTCGTCACAGATGTTGGCTTAACGGCGACATGGAGACGCTGTACACTGGAGCGATTCACGGTTTTTCGCCGCCCGGCGGCGGAATTGCTAATGGAGTTTCCACGGGAATCGCCAGTTCCTTTGACCAGGACGGCGTGCTGAGTCTTATCGTCGTCCTCGGGGGAAGTCTGTCCCTAGTGGCCCTGGTATTTGCGTTCATCACATACAGGTAAGTCTAATTCTTAAGTCAGACAAAGCGTCTAATATCCCGATATTATGAAATGTCTTTGTCAAAAATATACATGTGCTGAGACAAGAAAATATCAAAACTATAGAATATAATATAAAAAAATATTAACTAAAGAATATATTAACTATTATTGTACACGGAGAGAATTTTCTTTTAGAATTTACCCTGAAAATCATGGTAATATTAATAAAAAATATTAATATGTACATAGTAAAATTCATCGAACATATTTTATATTTTATTGTGGTAAATATTAATCAGAGAAATTCTTATAAAATTCTTCCAATGCCATATTGTCCATGATTACCATGATTTTCAGGATAAATTCTAAGAGAAAATTCTTCTTGTGTAGAATTAAATAATTAGATTTATTAAAAAACAAATTATAATTATTATAGAACAAATATGTATATGTGAAAGAATATAATATAGTTTTTGAAATAAGATTCCATTCTATTATGTATGATGTAACAGAAAGTTTTTATTCACGAAGGCTTTATAATATCGGTGATATTAGAAATTATGTACATCTTTACTATTTTCATTTCTCTCTCTCTCTCGTGACAAATTTATTACGCGAGAGATATTTGCCTTCCTGTTGTTTAATTATAACTAGAGAAAGAAGAACTTAATTAAACGCTCAGATTAATTAATCTCTGAAGCGTCCTTTGCTCGATGCACCTTTCCTGTTTTCCCTGCGTTTGAATTAATCGTTCATTACTTATTTACTTGTTGTTTCGTGTTTGCCTTATTTGTATCCTGAATCTTGATAAAGAATTTAATGCAAGATTGCAGGATGAATTATAACAATATTTTATCCTTCTCATATTTTCTTGTCAGATTTTTCTCGAAAAAAAAAATCTAAATATATAAATATAATATGTATAATTTTAAAGGACTGCTTTTTTACAAAAATGATTTTCTATATAAATTTGTTTTATATAAAACCATTATGAATTATTGGTAAGTACATTTTTATTCAACTATATTGATCTCATCAACATACGATTAAATGTTGGAAAGAGAATAAGCGCGAGCGTTATTATTTTTAAATGAAAAATGATTGACTGATATATTAATCAATAATCTACATGATAAAACTAATCTACTTATATCCCAAAAATTGGATATTAATTGAATATATATTTAAATATTAATTTATAAATATAAATACAAATCACTGATTTTAGTCATTAAAATATATTGATTACTTCATAATTTTAAATCATTTTTTAAATCTAACGTGTTTTAACTGAAATACTTATATATATTTAATTAACAAAATAGTAATTAGTCAAGTTAACAATTTTTTTTTCAGCGCAGGCTATAAAAATAAATAAAATCTGCAAACGTTGAACTATATGACGATCAAAATCTGCCAATGGCAGATCATTGAAATACATTTCCTAAATTTTTCTGTTTCCTATTGCGTTATATTTCTGAAAAATGTGCAACAATTTATTTCGGAAATTGGTCGGAAAGTTCTATCTCACGCCAGTCACGTCCCCTTTATATCCTTCTATTTTATCCTCAATTTTCGGCACGTTGGCGATTCCGTTCGTGATTCTTATAGATCGCCGATTCACACAGGGTGCTAATCGGTGTACCCTTAAGTCGAAAGACGATACCGCCGGAATATCAAACCACCTTATAGCTTCCTTCCTGACCTCGCTCTCGAAAGGCTTTCTCGGAAGGAGTATCTTTTTCTTCGTGTTTTTCTTCGCGATTTAATATTGTGTTTACTTACAGCGCGACTTCAGAATTTTTATCTCGCTGATAAATCGAAAAATCGATGAATCGCGGCACCCCATCTCCGTCAATGACATTTCGACCTTTATCTTCGAACGCGAATTAAATCGCCGACGAAGGAATGGAGCAAAATCAAACAGAAAGAGAGGGAAAAGGAAGAGAGAGAGAGAGAGAGAAAGTTTCATGATCGATCATCGTCCATCGCGGAAATTGCCGGGAAATGGGAAAGCGCAGCCACGAGGTTCCCCATCGCACTCGGTTCCAAAAGAGTCAACCGTCCGGCGATCTTGGATGTGGGAAAAAGACTGGACAAAAAGTTATCGCCGCAAATGGCGTCGATAAAACGCGTCGAACTTCGGTGCTTTATCCCATTTTCCTATCAAATGTAAATTCCTTCCAATATATTACGTTTTCGGGAAGATTTTTCGATATATCGCGAAAATCGATGATAAATTTTGCGTGTATATAACAAGAACGATCATTTCTACTAGAACATATTCATATTTTTCTTTCGAGATATATTAACAAAGATATATTCACGTAAATGTAAAATATCGTAATAATAGTTAAAATGACTATCGATCTTTCGATTCTTTTCGAGTTGTTAGCGAAGAAGCGAACGTCGCGTGAAAATAAATTACATATTTTCATCACGGGAAGTTTAAAATTTTTCGCCGAATTTCTCCTCGTCGAGTTCAACAGGTTTCCACGCACAGAATTTCGAACTTATAAAACAGTTTTTCTCGCTCGTCACCAGCTTGTCAAGTATCACTATCTTGAGTTTCATCTCTATAATTCAAAGTGTTCAATTTTCATAAATTTTGCTTAACATTATTTTATTCTTAAATAATTATTTATCGCTTTATTTAGCGTATTACTTTATCATTAATTTTAAATTTCTCGAATGTCTAAATATCTTTGAAAATCAATTTCAAGAGTTCACTTTTTTATCGTTAAAAAACACTATACCGCGTCAAGGAGATAAAATCATCTCGCGACTGCGACCTTTATATTTATTTTTCCTTAATGGAATTTCATATCTTCAAAGACCTCCCTCGCTGCAGCTAATTAGATTCGTGGCAGGAATAATTTTCGCGCGAAATGTTATATTTTCTTAGATAAGTACTCGCGCGTAGAAAAGCTGTTTTAGTTAGTCGGCAGGATAAACTAGTCAAACGACTCGTTGCAATAATAATAATAATAAAATCCCTCTCTTCCTTTTCCTTTATTTTCCGTACGAATTTTGTCTTTCTACCCACTATATATTTTCCGGAGAAAACAAAGCCTGCGCACGTTCGTTTATTTGCGTTATATACTATATCGCGCGATATTTCAATATTCCGGCGACCGAGTTGTTATTTTTTCATTACGTGTCGCTATTTTCATTTCCCCTTTATTATTTTTTCTACTTATTGCTATTTTATTTAATTTTTCTCCTCGCTGTCGAGAGAAAGAAATACGAGTTTCACTCCTGATAGGTATATCGCCGCATTTTGATTACGTTATTTTACGATTATTCTTGTATGCATTTTAATGTTCCGGAAATTGCGATTTTCCCGCTCTGTGACGTTACATTACGCGGTTTTTTATATATCTTTCACGATAAACGGAATGCTCGACCTCGTTACAGCGATTCCATCGATTTGATGGCGTTTTCGCGCGAATTGTGTTTGCGATCGCCGTGAAATTCATACTGATATTTAATCAGTGCTCAATGATATTCAACGCGTATTCAATCGCTCATTGATACCACTCGTTTATCTCGTTCATCGCGACCGGCATCTGACAGCTCTTGGAATTGACCTTCTATTTACCTATTTATCATTGTGATTCTGCGCGTTTTGAATCGGTTTCCTATATATAGAATTTACAAGTTTCATTTTATTTTCCATGCAATTATATATCAATGATATGAAAAGGCTCAATTATCGGAGTTAAAATCATTAATTTTCTGTAACACGAAATGTGAAGGAACGGAAACTACACTGAAAAAAAATTTGTCAACTTGATTAAATCTTTCGACTAAATATTATTTTGTTAAGCGAACCTAAAAATATTTAAATTAAATATAACATATTAAATTCAACGAAACGTATATTTGACTTAAATACTAATATATGTTGATTTATCAGAGTTAAAATCATTAATTTTCTGTAACACGAAATGTGAAGGAACGGAAACTACACTGAAAAAAAATTTGTCAACTCGATTAAATCTTTCGACTAAATATTATTTTGTCAAGCGAACCTAAAAATATTTAAATTAAATATAACCTATTAAATTCAACGAAACGTATATATTTGACTTAAATACTAATATATGTTGATTTCACAAAACAGTAATTTAGTTGAACGGTTTAATCAAGTTAACAAATTTTTTTTTTTCAGTATAGCTATTTTATATTTTTGTATGTCTTAAAATTATATTATAATTGCATTTGCAATAATAAAATTAGGAAAGGATTATTACATTATAATCCGATTATCAAATTAGGATCCTTTGTAGGATAAAATTGACAAAGAGTTAATTTGACGCTAAATAGTTGAATTATTTAATTTACTTTTAATTGCAAAATAAAATAATTATTGGACTTTGGAATGAAATGGCGAGTGGCGAACGGTGGAAACTAAATTACGTTTAATTAATACGGTTATGAAGATTACATTACTCTCCGAATTCGAGTAAAGGAATACTTGGGAGAGCGCGGAATAAAATTGAATGCCGAGTAATATTTGAAACGAAATATTCCATGGAGACTTTCATAAGGACAGTGTTTTAATTTCCGTTATTCCGTTACATATAGCCGCGTGAGAGCTTCCGCATGAATGTACATGCACACATGCACACGTATGCACGCAGGTGTGAGCTTTAAATAGAGGCTTTTTGCGGGACGCTATTGTGGAGAACGAGATTACGATGTACATTCAGTAAGCTGCCCGTACATTATAATAGTTACAAATTTAATGCTTCCATTTCGAGAGCGTTAATAGGTTAAGCTCACCGCACAATACCGTGTGACAATTTTTAATTAAAAACATATCATACATATATAGACGCGCACTCGGATTTTCTGGTTATTACATACCGCAGTAACGATGATATATATCATAAATGTCTTTAATCCGTTGACATTTAGAATGAAATATATCATAAATGTCTTTAATCCGTTGACATTTAGAATGAAAGTAATTAAATGCGCAATCTAATCCCACTATAGCGTGAAATAATGC